TTAGATGTTCAGATGTTCAGTAGCAGGCCCCTCAAGTTAGGGCTCTGCTGGTAAGAAATGACCATGTACTTCCTGTCCCAACACTTGCTGGCCACAGCACCACAGAAGTACCTGCTGTGAGGACTTGCTTCCCCACCCCAACCAGCAGAGCCTGCCTTTGAAGCAGTGTGTGACTTCGGACCACTGCAGTGACCAGCTCACCCTGTCCCCATCTCTTCTTTTCAGGATTTGGCAGAGAGAATGGCCGTGTGACGATCGAGTACTATTCACAGCTCAAGACAGTGTATGTGGAGATGGGTGACGTGGAGTCGGTCTTTTGAAAACCAATGAAGCCTGTTCCCTGGGCCAGACTATAGAGTGAGCTGGCTGCCTTGACAGGCAGTCTTAAGTGAACAGCTTCTTACATCCAGGCTTTCGGTTGAAAGAATGGGTCGGCTTCGTCCTCCATCTTGCAGTCACCTTCCCAGCTGAAAATGTGCACAAGTGCCTTTCAGATGCCACGCAGGGAGCCTGTTCTTCCAGCTAGTGTCTGTGATAGCTGGATACGCAGCAGACTCCATCAGACACAGGCAGCTATAGCTCTGCCCGCACACATTGGTCCCACCAACAATGGCAGCTTTCTAGTTTGCTTTAAAGAATGCCTCCCTTTCTGGGTTCCTGACGAATCAGTAACATTTTCTATGTTCAGTGACAACTAAAACAAAATTTTTAAAGCTTTTATTTGGAGACAGAGAAGTCTTAATACTTGCGGAAAGTGTTTTTTTTTTTTTTTTTTTTTTTTTTCATTTAGAAAGCTATGTTCTTTCTGTGGCAGCCAGAGTGGATTTGATTTAGCCAAAATGGAGTGCGTATTTGATGCTGAGCTTGAATAGTGGTCTCTGGTAACTAAAGTTTTGCCTTCTAACTTTGGCAGTCAGTCAGCCTCTGAAAGACTGACCTTGGCAAGCTTTGCATTAGGGAGCTCTGTTCCTGGGAACAAGATAAGTAAGCTCTGAGCTACCCTGGGAGCCAGATATCAGGTTCCGTGCAACCTTGAGTGAATCCTTGGCCGAGCTGCCAGCTGATGCAGATGGATGATGTTACAGTGAAGAAGGTTCCTTGTTCTCTCCTGCTTTTATATAGCTGATTCTCCCTTCAATAAATCGGTACCTTGATCAATGACTTGGTGTCCTTCTTCATGTCGCCTTGTTCTCTCTCTCTCTCTCTCTCTCTCCCAGCCCTCCCCTCAGGTGGTATCTACAAGTGTGGCCGCCCACAGCCACACTTTCTGGCTAGTAAGACGGCTCAGTGGGTAAGGTTACAAGACCCAAGCCTGATGACCTGAGCTGTATCTCCAGAACCCACATGCTCCTCCCGCATTCATACAATGCACAGTAATAAAATCTTTTTCAAAAGCTGCCTTCTTTCGTCATTCCATCGAGAAACCTGAAGACCTGGCTAGAGAGAAGGTGGCTGATGGGGTCAGGTTTTGTGCAGATACTGCCTTGTCTCGGCAGACACCCATCCGAAGCAGACACTTGGCTCTGGGCCTTGCAGTGCAGCCTGTTGCCTTACAACTGAAGAGAAGGTGTATGCTGCTGTGACAGAATTGAAACCGATCACGCTGCTCAAACTCCTGCTGTCTTAACTTGCATGTCATCACATTAATTAAGGCTGGATAGGACCGAGGAGAAAGTACCCGGCAGAGCGAGGTGAGCTCTGCAGGCACACAGGGCAGGGTGAGGCCCGATGACCTGTGCCCTGCCTTCCTCACTGGAAAGAACTTAAAAGCCTTGTAGCTGCAGCTGCTGCGGTGAGGCCTTGCCCAGGAATCCATTCTGGGGACCGGCTGAGTATAGTGAAGGGGGGTTATTTAGCAACAGGGAATGATTGTTACTGGGCCGGATCTTTTGTCCTTGGATGGGGAGTTACAGCAGTTAGTGCAAATGATTAAATGAGCCTTTCTTGGTGTTACTTGTCCCGCAATATTCATGAATCCTTGTTTTTCTCTCCCACATAAAGGCCTATATTTGTCTTCCTTTTCAAGGCTGGGGGCAGTTGACGAAATAAAGTGATTAAACAACCGCTGTGAGTCAGTGAGATTACAACGCGCTCTTGCTTCGGTCCTGCTGCAGCTTCTAAGTGCAGTTAGTTTGATAAAGCCTGTGTGCCCCATCACGACCGTCCGCACGGTCTGGATGTCATCTTCTGTCACTCTGCTCTCTCCTCTAGTCCTCTGCCAGACTGTGCCCTCTTCAGACCATGCTTCCCAGATCTTCACCTTACAGCCTCCTTAAAACCACAAGCTAAAACGGTTCCAAGGTCACGAAACCAGCACACACCTCCTTATCCCTGTTTCATTACCGCAGTCACTGTTATTTGAAGCTGCTGCTATCCTTCCTTAACTAGAACACAACTGAAAGCAAAAACTGCCCGAGCAGGTGCTGCTCAGTGTGGCCCAGGGAGCCGCTGCAGCACCTTCTTGGTAGAGACAGAACCTACCTCTAACCTGTCAGTCAGAGTCTGCGGTTTAGTAAGATCCCCAGGTGAGTGACTGGCACAGTAGTTGGCCAGGCAGGGCTTTGAGAGAAATGGGTCTCAACGTTGGCTCTTCGTTAGAGCTGCCTGATTAAAGTCTGAAGACACCGAGATGCTAACGTAGATGATCTGGGCATCTGGAGTCTGAGAAAGTGCCCAGGTGAATTCAGTAGGCAGCTGGAGGCGAGAACTGCCGAGTGCCAGGCTGAGTATAGTAGCTACCAGGCTTGTAACTACTTGAGCTTAATTAAAATTAAAAAATAAAAAAAAAATTAGGCCCACAAGTTGCTCTAGCCACATCTCAAGTCCTCGTTAGCCAAACACGGGTGCTGGCTGCTTAACTGGACAGTGCAGAGAGCATGTTTCTGTCACGTGAGAAAGTTTACTGGAAAGTGTTTAAGAGGGATGGAACAGAGGGACTGCTCATTTATCTATTTGAGTGTGGAGGTCAGGTGACTACTGAGGAAGCGGGTTTTCTCCTTCTGCTGGGGGTTAACGGTATCGAACTCATGTGGTCAGGCTTAGTGGCAAATGCTTCGACCAGCTGAGCCATCTCTCTGGCCCAAGACTGGTCCTTTTCATTAAGGTGGGACAGTATCTAGGTCAAACTCTGGAAGACTAGAACATATGCAGTAACCTGGTCGCTGATGTTGGCTAGGTTGCACCGGCAGGTGGCGCCCAAGCTTCCCACCATACCTTGCGGGAGCTTGAGCCCAGCCTCTGGTCATGAGCGCCTCCTGCTGCGCACACATGATCATGGATCCTCAGTAATTGTAAAGGCTCATGCTCTTGAAACTGGCTGCCCAACCGGTGATGTTCGGAGGCTGTGGAATCTTTGGGACATACCGCCCGAGCTCAACTGTGAGGTGGAGACATTCTGTTGCCTTTCCTGATCCACATCATTATATCCAGTAAAAGCTGTCTCCCCACCGGTCTGGCCTGATTTTGGTAGTGTGAGTACAGCTGGTGGCGGGGAGAAAGAAGCTCGGAGGGAGGCCAGGGTAGGAAAGTGGCAGAAGCAGAGACAATAAGAGGCAGAGGGCAGAACTGAGATAGAAGGACAATGTCTACTACAGTGCAGCGATGGGAAACAGCAGCCTCTGGTTGCTGGAATAGTTTGAGAGAGCTGTCTTCTTCAGACCGAGGGTCTTGCACCTTGGGCTAAGGACTTTTCCTGGCTACTGACAAGGGTGCAGGAATTCCAACACTTAGAGCAAGACCCTTTCACAGGGGTTTCTATCAGAGATCCTGCATATCGGCTACTTATATTACGACAGTAGCAAAGTTACAGTTAAAACATAGCAATGAAAATACTTTTATGGTTGGGATCGGCACAACATAAGGAACTGTATTAAAGGGTCACAGCACTAGGAAGGCTGAGAACCGCTGGCCTAGAGGGATGCCTGGGCCTGCACGAGGACTGTAACACGGGAAGGCACCTGTTGTTCCGCCACACAGGGAAGCCAGTGCTCCAAAGGCCAGCACTGGGTCCTCCTGCCTCGCTGAGCCCGCAGTGAGAGGAGAACCTCGCCAAGTTCTCCAGGCCCCCAGGAGCAATTCTAATATAATACGAATAAAACGCAATTACTAGAGGCTTCAAAACTTCCTGCCTCCTCCTCCTCATTTCATAAAGGACACTTAATGTTAAAACGAAGCCAAATTTAAGGTTTCATGGGAAAGGAAGGGGAAAAAAAGCCCATTTCCTTTGTTTTTTCAGTACACTGAAGACAAGGTCTCATGACCTGATCCGGGAATGTATTCGGCCCTGATACCCAACGGTGTCACAGTCACCCGGGAAAGGCTGAGACACCTTCAGTGCTTCATCTCTGGAGCTGAGCAATTCAGTAGGATGGGAGCGGCACAGATTTTAGAGCTCTGCCTCTGTTCAAGTCCTCCTCTAATCCTCAGAGCTATAGGGCAGGTGAAGTGTGGCTGTCACGGGTGAAGGGCTCTGGGTTTGTTTTATTTAAACTTTATCCATCTTTATAAAAGCCATGGCTTTCAGCTGTCTATCGCTCAACTTAGAGCTTTAAATAATTACATTTATTTGTGTGGGTGTCCATACGTGAGCAACAGTGTGCATGCAGAGGTTAGAGGGTAACTTGTAGGAGTCAATTCTAACACGTGCGTCCCGGGGATTAAACTTAAACTCACTTCACCAGGCTTTATGGCAAGTGTCTTCACCTGCTTCGTCATCTGACTAGACCCTGTTACTTACCCTTTTAAGCAATATAAACAATCTTCAATAGGTTTTTAAAAGAAAAAATCCATACTGTTAATTTTTAGCATCAAGTAGTGCTACATTTGGACTAGATTTAAGACTGAATTTTTCAGCACTGCGGTGGCATGGCCTCATGGCCATGATCAGACTTTTTCTCAGCTTCAGAGTATGTGAGGAGGGTACTCAAAGCTTTGCTCTGATTTAGTAGAAGTGGCCTAATTATTTCAGAAAGAGACAAAAACAAAAAAATGTAGCCAGGAGGTTTAGGTACGAGGCTGATGCCAGATAAGTTTTTATTATATTTAAAAAAACAGCGGAACTGGAAATAAAGGTAAGTCGTTCAAGGTGAACGAGAGTTGGAAGGACTACCGTTAATCAGTGGCAGGATTTGGACCCACTGCCCAAACCAGGTCTAATCCAGCCGAGGTGCTGGAAGGCAGAGCACACGGTTGTGCCCATCAAGGCAAAGAGGGCGAGAGACCCCACGGCTCCCCGATACCGCTTGTTAGGGTCTGAAAAACAAGAAGAGTAGAAGTTACCAGAATGTCCACAAGCCTGTTCCGGCATCTGAGGTCGTATGTTCAACCACCTGCTTTCGGGAGGCTGACCGGCTCTAGCCTAGGCTCATCAGGATGCTAGAAGCTATATGCAAAGAAATTCTACTGCAGCATGGCCTGGACTGTGGAGAACTCCTTGAGAAAAGCAACTTTGTCTCAGGCTGTTAGGAATGTTTCCCTCCAGAATGAAGAGAAGCCCTTTTCTCTCTTATCCCACTTATCGCAGTAGTGGCCAGGTTTTGCCGTGTACCACGTTGGTTTGATTTCTGGTGGCTCTGGTAGGAAGCTTAATATTTCTAAGCTGTTTCCTCATCTACCAAACAGACGGTTAGCTGGACACAGAATTGCTGCCAGGTTGCGTAGCATATATAAGGTTCACAGACAAGCAGCTGACACACAGAAAATGCTCAAAGGCTTGTTACTATTCTAAGGTCAGTAAGAAAAAAGAGAACGGACCTTTCATCTTAATTCTTAAACCACTTCCTCATTTAAAATTTTATCCTAGTTTATGTATATGGGTATTTTGTCTGCATATGGGTCTGTGCCCCACCTGCACAGATCCCCTAAAACTGGAGTTACAGACTGTTGTTAGCTGCCACGTGGGTGCTGGGAATCAAACCTGGATTCTCCAGGATAGTCCGTCCTCTTAACATTTGGGCCATCTCTCCAGCTCTACTTCTCCCCCTCTTTTAAAGCCCTGCTAAGAGGTTTTAAAAAATATATATTTTTATTTATTATGTATACAGTGTTCTGCCCGCAGGCCAGAAGAGGGCACTGGATCTCATTATAGGTGGTTGAGAACCACCAAGTGGTTGCGGGGACTGAACTCAGGACTTCTGGAAGAGCAACCGGTGCCCTTAACCTCCGAACCAAGATCTTTTAAACGCTGGTAAGAGTTAGAATATAGTAACTTAATATTTAAAGTTTGGCTGGGTGGTAGTGATGTATGCCTTTACTCCCAGCACTGTAAGAGGCAGAGGCAGGTGGATCTCTATGAGTTAGAGGCCAGCTTGGTCTACAGAGCAAGTTCTAGGACAGGCAGGGCTACATAGAGAAACCCTGTCTTGGAAGACCAAAATAAACAACCAACCAGACAAGTAAATAAATAGTTTTGGGGGCAAGAAAGACAGCTCAGTGGTTAGCACTTGCTGCTCTTGCAGAGAACCACTCGATCAGCACCCGGGTCAGATGGCTCGCAACCACCTGTAACTAGCTCCAGGGGATCCAACCCCTCCTCTGCCCTCTGTGGGCATTTGCACACAGGTACGTAATACATGTTAGAAAAGACAAATCTGAGATGTGTTTCCCTGGCGGATGTCAACATGCACTCACCTCCTGTGTAGTAGCCATATGCATAAAGAACTCGCCCAACAATCCAGGCCAGGCCCAGGCCAGAAGCTATGCGCTAAGAGAAAAGGACAATTCAGTGTTCGCCCTGAAGAAACAGACCTTTGCTAATTAACGCCTGGAGCTGGCTACGCTGTGTTGGCCAACAGTGATTACAGGCCTTTGGTAGTGTATTTCTCACAGGGTTAGGAAATAATGGGGTTACTTGTTTCGGTCAGGAAAGCCAAGCCTGGTGGTCATCTATAATCGCCTGCTCAAACTGAGAGAAGAGTCCTAGCTTTCCCTCTGGGTGGACTGGAAGCTGCTCTGGGTAACTGGTGCTGGAGCTCAGGTCAAGGGCAGGCAGGCCTCAGGGTCAGTCAGAAGAGGAAACCCTGACGACTGAGGTGGGACACTGAACAGCCGCTGGGCTGCACCGTCTCCAGTGACAACACGGCTGGAAGTCGCTGGAGGCCGTCGGTGCAGCAGTCTGCACACTGTAGAGGCGGGGCTCGATGAGAAAAGGTGAGGAGAATGTATAGCAAAGCCCTGAATATGTGTACTCGGAGGAAACAGCCTCCCCGTTCCTAACACCCTTGAGAGGAGAGAGTAAAACCTCATGTGAGCTGAAAAACCTTCTCCTTCAGTTCATCCTGAGTAACCCACTTGGTCGGAAAGAATAAGAAGAAACAAGGTTGGGGTAGGGTGGGCAGGTGACCCTCCCCGAGTCCTCTTCCAATTTGGTAGTGCTGTGAGTGGTGCTGGTTGCTATGGCAGGATTTTGTTTGTCTGGGCAGGAAGATGAAGAGCCTTAGACAAAGCTCCAGTTACTCTCCACAGTGCTGCATAATTACTAGCAATTTTGGAACAATGGTTTGGTGCTGTTTTCAGTCATGTAGGTGCCTGCTCGTCCCCATTCACTAACTTCAGCTATGAGTGTCTGTGGTAGCCGTCATGACTCCATGGCCTTCTCAAGGCTGGATGCTATGGACACCTGCAGATCCTGCGTCCTCACCTCTTGTGAGTTTGCCTGAGTGTCACCTTCTCAGTTAGAGCTCTGAGCCTGACCACAACTCCTCGAAATCTCTGAGCCCCACGATCTTTCCCCACCTCCCTTTGTTTGCTACTGGGCACTCACCACCTTGTAGCATACCAGATAATTTACTTATGATGCGGTTTATGACCCCGATTAGAGGGAGGGCCTATGAATCCAGGCGTCCACCTGTCTGTTCACTGCTGTAACCTTGGGTGTGGGTCTGCCTATTTTTGCATAGAATGAGAAAAGTAAAAACACTCCCTATGGAAATGAACCCTTTAGAGTTAGGTAGACCTGGGTTCAAAGTTCCATTCTTCTGTGGCTTAGCTGACCCCATGAAAGTTAAACAGTGTCTAGGAGGCTTTTCCTCAGTCTGGGGAAAAAAAAAATCAGGTGACATACTGCTTACTTTAAGGCAATTTTTTAACAAATCAGTAAATAAAATCCTTTTAAATACATGGTGCCCTGACACCAAGGCTCCTCATTCAATGTTCGTTTCCTTTTCCCTGTGCCGAGGGTAGCTCAGCAAACTGCATCTAAAAGGATGAAGAGCCCCAGAAGAGACTTACCGGGTGGTAAACGCCTCCCACAGCTAGGAAAAACAGGAAGGGAGGGTACACCTCCAACCTGGGATGGACAGAAAGGAACGTTTCAAACAGTGTTCGTGCTGGCAGGTTAGAAGCTTGGTATAAAAGTAGATATATATATATATATATATATATATATATATATATATATATATATACACAGCCAGTCACACGGGACCCACCAACACCACAGAGGGTTTTACATTAAAGACACTGTGATGGCTGCCGCTTACTGTCAACAGAATCTAGAATCACCTGGGAAAAGGACATGCCCATGGAAGACTACTTTAGATTGTATCAGAAGTTTTTTTTTTTTCTCCACCCCCCCCCCCCCCCCCAAGACAAGGTTTCTCTGTACAGCCCTGGCTGTCCTAGAACTCACTCTGTAGACCATGGTGGCTTCGAACTAATGGAGCTCTGCCTGCCTCTGCCTCCCGAGTGCTGGGATTAAAGCCGTGTGTCACCACAGCCTGGCTCAGTTTTCCCATTCTAAAAATACTTAGTTTTGCTCAGTACTCAATCTGTTCGTACAGTAACTTAAGTTTATTTTTATTTGTGTGTATGAGTGAATGTATGTGTGTGTATTCAAGCCCAGGGCTCCGTGTGTAAGTTAGATTTGGTTACCTTCTTTGCCGTGTGGCCCCTGGGGATCAAATTTAGATTATCAGGTTTGGCAAAAAGTGCCTTCATTTTCTGAGCCATCGTGCCTGCCCCCCTCCCCCAGCCCCCTAATGTTTTAATGAGGCACCCATGATTGCCATGCTATCACTCAACAAATTCAGACTCAGGGCTGAAGCGATGGGCATCTGACATGGTGGCGGGAAACTCACGTGTTCTGGTGGGCTCGCTGAATGCAGTTGAAGATGTGTCCGTTCTCAGGGTCTGTGCTGTACATGACAGGGTACTGTTAAAGCAAAGGCCAAGCAGAGCATAAGTGTTGAGAATGAACTAACACGGACACGGAGACATTCCAAAGCACCTTCCGAGGTCGTCCTGATGGGTGAGCCCTTGACTGCTGCCGCATCTTGGTGGTGACAGGGTTTCAGTTCTCAGCAGCAGGTGTGGTGTGTTTAACCAGTACAAGGTAGTGAGAACCCGTGACTGGGCTGTGGCTGCAAAAGAGACAGCAGTGGCTTCTGCCCCAGCCAGGGTTTCTTTCTCATTGATGTCATAAATCAATGGTAGACTGCAGATAATAGAGACATCACAGAGAAGCGGCTGGTTCCCAAGAGTCGGCACACATCACATCCCTTTAAGATTTCCCTTAAGGGAACATATAATTGAGTGTGTGAGATTTTTATTGCAAGTGCTCATTAGAACAAAAAGAGAGGCAGCCAGATAGGAGCGCTTGAAAAGAATGTCCACAGAGGGAGTCTAATTACAAGATGCTAAATGCAAACAGACATCTAATTGCTCACCAGGGAGAGCGCTAGAAGTTTCCCTTCTACTTCAGCCAGAGCTAAAGGAAGTATTTAACAGACTTCCTTTCTGCAGCTACTGGCTAGCCCCAGGTTAAGCTCAGCATCTCGTCGCTACTTAGGAAACAGGGAAATCAACTTAAGACATCATTTTTTTTTTTTTTTTTCCTGAGACAGGGTTTCTATGTATAGTCCTGGTTGTCCTGGAGCTCGCTCTGTAGACCAGGCTGGCCTCGAACTCAGAGATCCTCCTGCTTCTGCTTCCCAAGTGCTAGGATTAAAGGTGTGTGCCACCACCACCCGGTTTAAAGTGGCAAACTAGGAAGCCACTTCATCCTTTTTAGAAATTAGCACTGTCCCCTGGCAAACAGCTCCAGACAAACATGGACTTTTAATCCCAGTAGGGCCGGTCTTTCTACAGAGGAGCCAAAGTCTAACTAAGTGTAAACCGCATCCTCATGTTCCTGCCTCTTAGGAACGAAACTCTAACGGGCGCTGTCCAAAACCTGCTACCCGCACAAACCTTCGGAGGAGCCTGTGGCCTCAGGAAGGCTGCAGGGGCAGCCGCCTGTCATCACACTCACCTCCACCTTGTACTTCTTGCGGGCTTTGCCCACGTTGATGGCTAGGTGGAGCACCATCACAAAGCTGGCCGCACCAGTGAGGAGCACAAATCCGTATTCCTTAGAGAGGACCGCCATCGTGGCTCTGCGGATGGAAGGACAACATACTGACGCTGCGGCCTCGTGTGGCGCCAGGCCTCAGAGAGCGCAGTGCCTCATCACCGGCAGATAAGTACAGGTCAGAAAGTTGTTTCAGGGCTGGGGAGTGGCTCAGTAGGTACACTGCTTGTCCTGCAAATGCGAGGACCCGAGTCGGGATCCCTGTGCAGGGCCAGCATCCTGTATCCCTGTGCCGGGGGCTGGGTAGGATGGAGACAGGGAGGTGGCTGGAGCTCACGGCTAGCCAGCTTAATAAAAAAGGTGAGTCTCGGGCTTGGTGACGGAACCCGCCGCAAAGAGCAAGCTACAGAGGGAGAGAGGAAAAAAAAAACCCCAAGTTAACCTTGTCTGCAGGTGAGCACGTGCAGGTAAGCACACCTGCACACACACGGTGCACACACATGCTTCTATATCACACACACACATCACACATGCACATACGGCACACAGGCTCTCTGCCCAACTAAAGAAAAAGTCATTTCTAAGAGCTCATCAGAAATGCTACCGTGTACTAGACAACAGAGGGAAAAAGCACTCCGGTGTGTAGTTTAGTCTCAGGGAAGTATAAAATCATACATGTCCTTCCTTTCTTCCCTCCCTCACCCTTTCACTTTAAAAACAGACTTTATTTCTATCTGTCCGTCCGTCCGTCCATCCATCCATCCATCTTTCTCTATTATCTATCTATCCATCCTTCCATCATCTAGCTATCATCTCTCTCTCTCTCTCTCTCTCTCTCTCCCTACCTCTCTATCTTTGTGTGTACACACACCCGTGTGCACATGGAGCTTAGACGAGGAGTTTGTTTTCCCTTACCACCATGGGGGCCCTGGGCGCTGGACTCCAGTCATTAGCTTTGGCAGCCGGCACTACCCACTGAGCCATCTCATGCGCTCCTTACTTTCAGCTTTTGAGACAGAATCTCTCTGGGTAGCCCAAGGTGGCCTGGTGCTCAATACCCAACCCCAAGTGGCCTCAAGCCCACAGCAAGCCCCCTGCCTCAGGATGGCTGATGACTGAGACAACAGGTGTGTGTCACTGTAACTAGCTGTATATTCTCTTTGATTCAACATCATTTCACAGATTTTACCAGTATCGTTGGGGCCGTCACTGTAGTAAACTAACTTTGGCATTGGGAGGTATTTAGCGTGACACCCTGTAACAACGTGGCGTCTACAACAGTGGCTTCTGGAGAGGGCTGCTTCGAGGTCGGCACCTATGACCGCCCTTCCACCCTGATCCTGGCCACGTGCTGGCACAGTTTTAAAGAGCAGAATGGAGAAGCCCTGCTTGAGTGCTCTGATCTCCCGGCCCCCGAGCCAGCGGTGTGGACAAGACACACAGTCCGGCAGGCTCCTGAGAGCCCAGGCTACCCATTAAGTCACTCCAGCACAAGCCCACAGGAGTTCTCATGCCTGTAATGTATTTTGGAATGCATAAAACATTGGCAGTACAAGCTGATCAAATGTTAACCACAGACTGGGGTGGTAGCTAGGGGGTTTCAAGATACAGTTCTTTCAATTTTTTTCTGACCACGTGGGAGCTTTCATAAGGAAGCTGCTTTGAGAAGATGATAATCCTGGCTCATCATGCAGTGTTAGGCATCTGAGCTCTTGTCTCAAAGGAAAGACTTAGACTGGGCATCAGTGAGAACAAAATTTTCCAGGTGGAAGAAGCCTTAAAGTTTCTCATACCCCCCTGGGCTGCCCGCTAACCTCTGTGAGCTAAGGGCATGTAGGAAGAAGGGGAAGCCGTGTCATGTCAGAACATACGGAGGTGACTTACTACCAAATGCAAGGCTGCCCCAAGCCAGGAGCTCCTGTGTGATCTCTTGCTGGCTGTGAAAGCACACATTGGTAGGCGAATGCTTAAGAGAATGCGGAAGAAAGATCATAAGTTCAAGGCCAATCTGTGCTACATCTTTAAGGGCTGGGGAGAGGGCTTGGTTGGTAAGATGTTTGCTGAGCAACCAGAAAGACCTGAGTTTGATCCCTAGCATCCATGTGAAAAAGTCAGGCAAGGTGGCGCGGTCTTGTGATCTACTGCTGTGGAGACTCCAGGGAGATTCCAGGAGCATGTAGGACAGCCTATGTAGCCTGATTGGTGAGCTCTGGGTTCACCAACAAGATGGATTCACCCTGAGCAACAACAGCCACCCAAGCTGTCTCACGGCTTCCACGCGCATGTGTGCGCAAACACACCCACTAACACAAGTAAAGCCTGTCTCTGATTCGTGTCTAGCTTTCATCTCCCCAGAAGCCAGCTCAGGGTGTTGCCCTGCTCCAGAATGTTTCTAGTCATTCTGAAAAACAAAAGGGCACGATTCCAGTACCCCTGCCATCAGAGGAACACGCAGAGCTTATGTGCTGCACGCAGAGTCTAAAGCAGGAGGGGATTATGGGTGGGATTCAACTCGAAATCATCTGGCTCCAATGGCCCCTTTCAGTCCTGCTTGCAAACTGAAAGAGTGGAGTAGCACAGCATCTCTCTCAATATGAAATCTGAGGGTGAGTATGATGCTCTAGACTGGAGAGATGGCTCGGCGGTTGACAGTATCGGCTGCTATTCCAGGTTTGGCTCACAACCACCTATAACTCCAGTCCCGGGGGATCCAATGGCCTCTTCTATCTAGCTTCCAAGGGCTACTCGTATGTTGCTCACAGATGTACATGCAGGCAAATCACCCATTTTAAATTTAATTAGTAAATTAAAAAAACAAAAACAACAGAAAAAAAGGTTCTCCCAGCTTAGAAAAATAACATTTGGGGTCTAAGTCTCTCAGACCTGTCCACCCCCATGACAGCACACAGTAATTCTCACCAGCTTTGCCCTGCCCTCTTGCCCTTCAGAGGGGCCAGACATACTCGGGGCCAGACTGTCTCTATGACTCAGCATGAGGTGCCTCCGGTTTGGCGGACCCACCTGCCCAGCTTCAGAGACAAGCCTGGATGCTCTCCAAGTTTCTTCTCCTTCCCTCTCTTCCCAAGCTATCAAGTCAGCACACATTGGAAGCTACAGTAGTAATCAGAAAGCAAAAAGGCAGTGTGAATCCTGAACACCTCCTTGAAAATAAGAAGTGATTGCGCCTGCCTGCCAACCTTGCAGTTAAACCACTGGGGTTGAACAGGCCATTGAAAATGAAGCTGCCTCTAAGGTGGTCAGAGCTGCCCTGACAACGAAATGAAACACATCTGTTCTAGGTAGGTTTGCAAGTGCAGAGGCTCAAGTGGGCAAGGGCAGAGGTTAGGACAGGTCAGGTTTTAGAATTCATAAAAACCCCAGCACTCAGGGAGGCAGAGGCAGGTGGATCTCTGTGAGTTTGAGGCCAGCCTGGTCTACAAAGTGAGTCCAGGCCAGGCAAGACTACACAGAGAAACCCTGTCGAGAGAGAGAGGAGAGGAGAGGGAGGGAGAAAGAGAAAGAGGGGAGAGAGAGAAAGGAGAGAGAGGAGAGGGAGGGAAGAACAGAGAGAGAGAGAGAAAGAGGGAAGAGAGGTGCTCTTTGGGTAGCTATATACTGCAGGTAAGAACCATTCCCAAAGCAACCATTGTGTAATCTATAACAAGAAATTAATGTTTTGTCAGGCTACTCTTTCAGAGGAGAAATGCTGTCCTCTCCGTATTCACACCAGCGAGAGTCACTCTCCTCACCCCTTGAAGCCAGTGGTGACAAGTATGAATGTGGGTGGGGGTAAGCAAGAGCCAGGACTAAGAGGATTTGGTGACATCGAGGAACTCAGGAAAGGCAGAGAATGAACTAAAAGGCGGGGGAGGGGTGGAGAGCCCTCTTCTCCCTCTAGGGGCTCGTCTGCCAGGAATGCTGCCTTTCCAAAGGGTGGAAGAGCTCTTCCGATACCTCCATACACTTCCTCCAAGTGAGAAGTCCTACGGAGGCTGGTTCTGCACTCAGAGAAGACGATGAGAACAGCCACTGAGCTCCTGTGGTCTGGCATTCCTCATGGCAAGGACTACTCGTGGGGTATGCGAGTGCTTGCAGAGTGCATGGTGAGAGCAGCAACTTCAGGTAGCTTTCAAGAATGGCCCCTCCACTCCCATACAGAGAGACATGTTCATCATCTCATATAGTACCTGGCAATACAACATTCACCTAAATGATTTGCTTCTGCTTTTCTTCCTTCCAAAGCATCTACCGAAACCATGGAAGAAATAGGATTACGGATTACATAAGAAGGAAGAGTCTAGAACACGGAGGTCTGCATCATAGTGGCTACAAACGTCGATCCAAGGGGTAAAGATGGTTAAACCTTAGCCTGTAAGGACGGGATCAGCTTAATGCAGTCAAAGTTCAGAAACACTTTATCGTTGGCTAAATTCTTATTTTCTCAGACTCTAGGGGAAAGGGACGGGTGTTCTCAGCCCTTAGAGGGTAGCCTCTGGGTCAGGGTACACAAAGAAGGGGAAGGCAACTCAGTTCAGAATCCACACCCAGGCAGCCTCAGCCACACCCTGGGTTTTTAGGAGTCCAGAGGCAGCAGATAGCTTCGAGGGCCAGGCCTGAGTTGCTGATAAGTGATATACAAGCCCCCTAGGGCGTGAGCATTCCTGAGGACTGCGCATCTTACTGATCACATACCTGCAGCTCTTCTATGGACCCACCAAGATAAGGTTTTCAAATAGGAGAGCTTTTTCCTAGACTTGGTCTTCGTGGTTTGGACACAAGAAGCTCTACAATGAATGCCCGTACCTGCGTTTCCCACGGAACAACTGGCTACCGTGACATGCACGCAAACACGGAGAAGTCAAGACGCAAGCCTCCCATTTATGGTTTATAATAGTCACGTGCACAAATACAGAAACCCAAATGAGTGTTGCTGTGGGTTGCAGTCTTCACTTGGAGGCATGTTAAGCTGTGCCTCCTCTCCCCCCACCCCCAGTTTCTGATTTGTAGGCTCTACTGGGGCCTGTCAGTGAAACTTTTTAAAAGTTCCCAGGTGCCTAGAGAGCCTATTTTAAAAACTGTTGTTAG